AGTAAAGAATTGTTATTTAAATGATAAACAAAAGTGACAGAATTTTAATTAATTAAGAACCAAAAAAGAAGTCTAATATTTAAAATTATAACCGAAACAGGTGACATTACCACTGATGAAGGAATGCAAAAGTTTAGAAGACTTTTTTTGAGCAATTATATGCAAACAAATAAGACAACCTAAAAAGTCCCTAGAAGTATACCCTTTAAAAGACTGAATCATAAATAGAAAATATGGACAGAACAAAATAAAGAGAAATTAGCAGTTGTCAAACATCACACCCCCCCCAAGAAAAAAAGCCAAAAATCGATGATATAATTGGTGAATACTACCAAGTAACTAAGGAAAATGCCTCTCTATTCTCCCAGAAAAACAATAACAAATATTTGAGTATACCTGATATACAATATGATATCTGGTAAGCATATAAAAACATGTTAATATCACTCATCTTCAAAAAAAGATAAAATGGAAAAACACTTTTTTTTTTTTTAAAGATTCGTTTATTTGTGCATACAGAACTGGGGTACAGGCCAGAGACTTAGGGGCAGCGAGAGGCTTCACCAGAGACAGAGTGGGGAGCAGAACAGGCAGATCGATGAAGAACACTGCTGAGGGGAGCAGCGGACCGGTCAGGAGAGGTCTGCCACGCTATGTGGTCACCTCCCGGGCAGGCGGGAATCGAACTCATTTGGAAGCGGTTTTAGCTTCTTAGTGCAGTGCTTTAACCTGCTGTGCCACCAGGGAGGGCCAGAAAACCACTCTTTTTAATGCTTAAATAAATGATACAGTGTCTGCAAGTTGTGGAACAATTAACATTCTCATATATTGTCAATAGGGTGTAAATAGGCATAAAATCCTTAGGAGAAAGTTTGGCATTATTGAAATTTGAAATTGGAAATTGGAAACCATGTAAGTGCCCATGAGTAGCATAATTAATAAACATAATACATTAATACAATGAAATGCAACACGATATTTTAAAAAAGCAGATGTAATAGTGATTCTCTTTGTGAAGATATTGATTGGGAAGAAACACCAGGAAGACCCTAAGATAATAGCAATATTCTAAAATTTTACCTGTGCTGCAGTTATATAAGCAAATACATATGTAAAATTCAAGCTGTACACTGGGATTTGCATTAGCTAAAAACTGTCAACTGTAAGCAAATCACTCCAAAAAATTAATAAATTCATGAATGAAATGAAATGGTGTATTCCAAATGACTTCAAAATAGAAGGAAGTATAACTGAGTATTAAAAAAAAGAAAAAAATGCTTGAAGATAGCAAGTCATTCTTCACACTAGTTCATGAACTAATTTTGATACTATGTTTCTAGGTACTAAGGTTTTGTATATTCAGGTACTACTTCTTTCAAATTTTCTTTTAATATTCATATACTATATGAACAATCATTATATGGTGATCCTTTATTTTCAGACAAACATCTACGGAAAAATACGTAAGTTGTACATTTTCAATGTTTACTATATAAACACTTATTAGGCAACTGAGGGTAGGAACTCCCAAAAGCAATATATACAGGAAGTAGACACATCATTTCCAACATGACTTTGAAATTATCTCCTTATTGTTGATTGATTATCTTCAATCTTCTTATTGTTGATATCACTGTTATCTTCAAGATGGTCAGATGACTCTTTTATAGCATCATTTCTCTGAAATGTGATATACCACATGCATATAAGCATTAACATTTATATGCATTTTTGAAAGGACAGGAATTTTAGCAATTGAGAAGGAAAAGAAAATACTGGCATAGACACAAGTGGGCAGGATTTGTCTAAGGCCCCTAAACAGTCTCTGTAGACATCTCTCCAGGATTTATGTGCACTGGTTAATGTACGATTACAACTATATATGGGACATTGGTACGTGCAGCTCTATTTGAGATGGACAGTATCCTACTTGCTCTAAAATATGCCTGTTACA